GTGGAGGTTAAGGATAATCTAGGCATGGCCCAATATCTAAACAAATACTTTGCCTCAGTCTTTAATGAGGCTAATGAGGAGTTTAGGGATAATGGTAGGATGACAAATGGGAATGAGGATATGGAGGTAGATATTACCACATCCGAGGTAGAAGCCAAACTCGAACAGTTTAATGGGACTAAATCGGGGGGCCAAGATAATCTTCATCCAAGAATATTAAAGGAAATTGCAAGCCCCTTAGCAAAAAATTTTAATGAATCTGTAAAGTCAGGGCTTGTACTGTATGACTGGAGAATTGGTAACATAGTCCCTATTTGTAAGAAAGGAAAAAAAAGTGATCTGGGTAAATAAATGCCTTTTAGTTTGATATCTGTATTATGCAAGGTCTTGGAAAAAATTATGAAGGAGAAAGTAGTTAAGGACATTGAAGTCAATGGTAATTGGGACAAAATACAACATGATTTTACAAAAGGTAGATCGTGCCAAACCAAACTGATCTCCTTCTTTGAGAAGGTAACAGATTTTTTAGACAAAGGAAATGCAGTGGATCTAATTTACCTCAATATCAGTAAGGCATTTGATACAGTTCCACATGGGAAATTCTTAGCTAAATTGAAAAAGATGGGGATCAATATGAAAACTGAAAGGTGAATATGACAACTGGTTGTACTGAAAGGTGAACTATCAGGCTGGAGGGAGGTTACTAGCAGAGTTCCTCAGGGATTGGTTTTGGGACCAACCTTATTTAATCTTTTTATTACTGACCTTGGCACAAAGAATAGGAATGTGCTAATAAAGTTTGCGGATGAGACAAAGCTGGGAGGTATTACCAATACAGAGGAGGACTGGAATATCATACAGGAAGATCTGGATGACCTTGTAAACTGGAGTAATAGTAATAGGATGAAATTTAACTGTGAAAAGTGCAAGGTAATGCATTCAGGGATTAATAAAGGATAGTTACCTGTTCCATAACTGGCATTCTTCGAGATGTGTTGCTCAGGTGTATTCCACTATAGGTGCGTGCTCGTCACATGCACCGGTGCCGAAGTTTTTCCCTTAGCAGTATCCATAGTGGCGGAGCACCGCTGCGACCCCTGGAGTGGCGCCGATATATCGCGCCATAAAGGGGTCTGCGTGCTCCCTCCACCCTCAGTTCCTTCTTGCCAAACAACTCTGACAGAGGGAAAGGAGGGTGGAACAGGTAACTGTCCTTTCTTCTTCGAGTGATTGCTCATGTGTATTCCACTATCGGTGACTCCAAGCTATACCTGATGGAGGCGGGTAGGAGTTTAAGTGTAAAGCTTTAAGGGTTACCTGGGCGGAGCACCACCCTACCAAACCCAGCGTCCTCCCTCGTTCGGGAGACGATCACATAGTGCGATGAAAAAGTGTGGACAGAGGACCACGTAGCAGCCCTACAGATGTTCTGAATAGGGACATGAGCCACATAGGCTGCTGATGAGGCCTGGGCTCTCATCGAGTGAGCCTTCACATTAGTAGACGGGGGAATCCCTGCCAGGTCGTAACAGGTGTGAATGCACGAGGTGATCCAGCGGGAAATCCACTGGGTAGACACCGGTTGTCCCCTCATGCGCTCGGCCAATGCAATGAACAGCTGGGGAGAATTCCTAAATGGCCTGGTTCTGTCCAGGTAAAAAGCCAGCGCTCTGCGCACATCTAACATGTGCAGGCAGTGTTCCTCATTGGAGGAATGGGGCTTAGGGCAGAGGATCGGGAGGAAAATGTCCTGATCCATATGAAAAGCCGAGACTACCTTCGGCAAAAAGGCAGGGTGAGGGCGGAGCTGCACCTTGTCCTGATGGAAGACCGTATACAGCAGCTCAGAGGTCAGGGCCCTGAGCTCCGAAACCTAACAGGCTGAGGTGATAGCCACTAAGAACGCCACCTTCCACGACAACTGGGACCACCAACACGTGGTTAATGGCTCAAAGGGAAGCCCTGAGAGGCGGGAGAGCACTAGGTTCAGGTCTCAGAGCGGGACCGGGGGCCTGGCGTAAGGGAATGCCTGATCTAACCCTTTCAGAAACCGGGCCGTCATGTGAAAACACAGACAGGCCCTGCACCGGGGGATTGAAAGCCGAAATGGCCACCAGGTGCACCCTGATGGAGGAGGGTGCCAGTCCTTGGGTCCTAAGGGACAGGAGGTAATCGAGGACAAGCTGGATAGACGTGGAAGAGGGAGAGGAACCTCTATCTCTCGCCCACCTAGAGAACCTATACCACCTTATCCAGGTAGGTTCGATGCGTGGAGGACTTTCTACTTTCCAGCAGGACCCTTCTCTCATCCTCAGAACACCTCCCTTCCTCCTCATTTAAACATAGAGCAGCCACGCTGTCAGGTGGAGCGTGGCTAGGTTGGGATGGAGGAGACGACCGTCCTCCTGGGAGAGGAGGTCCGGGCGGAGCGGCAGTCTGTGAGGGGGGGCCGCTAAGAGTTGCGGTAGGGTCCCATACCAATGTTGACAGGCCTAATCCGGGGCTATGAAGATAACCCTCGCCCCATCTGACTTCACCTTCTGTAGGATCCTGCCAATTAGGGGGAAGGGCGGGAAGGCGTAAAACAGGGGCCCCGACGATGGGATCAGGATCGCGTCTGATATCGCCCCATCGCCCTCTCCCGCCCTGGAGCAGAATCGTGGGCACAGGCAATTCTGGGCAGTGGCGAACAGGTCTACCTGGGGAGTGCCCCACTGTAGGACGATCCACCTGGCCACCTCCTTGTGCAGGGACCACTCGTGATGTTGGGAGAACACCCTGCTCAGGCGGTCCGCGCGTGTGTTGCTCTTGCCGGGCAGCAGTATGTCATGGGTTATACAGAACTCCCACAGGAGCTGAGCTTCCTGGCATAAAGCCCGGGAACGCGTGCCCCCCGCTTGTTGACATAATACATGGCGGTCGTGTTGTCTGTGAGGACTCTGACCACCCTGCTCTGTATGTGCTGGCAAAAGGCCACGCATGCCAGGCGTACGGCCCTGAGATCCCTGACGTTTATGTGCAGGGTTAGTTCCCCTGGTGACCACATACCCTGGGTCCTGAAGTCCCCCACGTGGGCTCCCCAGCCCAGGTCCGAGGCATCAGACACTAGATCTAGTGAGGGAGGGGACTCTCAGAAGGAGATACCCCGGAGCATGTTGCTCAGGAGGGACCACCATTGGAGGTCTGTCACCACCGTTGGCAGCACCGGGATGACCTTGTCCAGGCCGTCCCTGGCCTGGGAGTACCGGGAGGCCAGTCAAAGCTGAAGGGGCCTCATCCAGAGCCTGACATGCGCACCACATAGGTGCATGTTGCCATGTGGCCTAGGATTTGAAGGCACACGCATGCTGTGGTTACCGGGAAGGCCGTGACCGAGGCTATGAGAGCCCTGAGCATCTCGAATCTGTCCCGTGGGAGGGAGGCCGTGGCCACCTGGGAATCTAATAGATCCCCTATAAAGCTTATGCGCTGAACTGGGATTAACGTGGATTTCTGCTTGTTTACCAGTAGGCCTAGAGCTGCACAGGTGTCCAGCAGGAAATTCATCTGCTGCTGCACCAGAGACTGAGACCGACCCTTCTGGCACTGGTGCACGTGGCGAGCACGCACACCTATAGTGGAATACACCTGAGCAATCACTCGAAGAAGAACAAGAATTTTTGTTATAAGCTGGGGACGCATCAGTTGGAAATAACAGAGAAGGAGAAGGATCTCGGAGTATTGGTTGATCACAGGATGTGATATGGCTGTGAAAAAAGCTAATGCGGTCTTGGGATGCATCAGGCGAGGTATTTCCAGTCGAGAGGCACTGGTGAGACCTCATCTGGAATACTGTGTGCAGTTCTGGTCTCCCATGTTTAAGAAGGATGAATTCAAACTGGAACAGGTACAGAGAAGGGCTACTAGAATGATCCGAGGAATGGAAAACCTGTCTTATGAAAGGAGACAAAGAGCTTGGCTTGTTTAGCCTAACCAAAGAAGACTGAGGGGAGATATGATTGCTCTCTATAAATATATCAGAGGGATAAATACCAGGGAGGGAAGAGGAATTATTTAAGCTCAGTACCAATGTGGACACAAGAACAAATAGATATGAACTGGCCATCAGAAAGTTTAGACTTGAAATTAGATGAAGGTTTCTAACCATCAGAGGAGTGAAGTTCTGGAACAGCCTTCCAAGGGGGCAAAAGACATATCTGGCTTCACGACTAAGCTTGATAATTTTATGGAGGGGATAGTATGATGCGATAGCCTAATTTTGGCAATTAATTGGACTTTGACTATTAGCGGTAAATATGCCCAATGGCCTGTGATAGGATGTTAGATGGGGTGGGATCTGAGTTACTACAGAGAATTCTTTCCTGGGTGTCTGGTTGGTGAGTTTTGCCCACATGCTCAGGGTTTAGCTGATCACCGTATTTGGGGTCAGGAAGGAATTTTCCTCCAGGGCAGATTGGCAGAGGCCCTGGGTTTTTTTCGCCTTCCTCTGCAGCGTGGGGCACGGGTCACTTGCTGGTGGATTCTCTGCACCTTGAAGTCTTTAAACCATGATCTGAGGACTTCAATAGCTCAGACATATGTTAGGGGTTTGATACAGGAGTGGGTGGGAGAGATTCTGTGGGCTGCGTTGTGCAGGAGGTCAAACTAGACGATCATAATGGTCCCTTCTGACCTTAAAGTCTATGCTTCTATGCTGTAGGAGCCACTTTGGCAGCCCTACACCATAAGAGGATTTCCCAATGTTGAGGGAGTCCTCCGCCAGGAAGATTTGTTGGATTTAAGTCTGCCTTTAGTTGAGTGACTGCTGCAAGACACAAGAATAGGTCATTTGTCCTTAAACCCAGTGAATGCTGCAATCAGAAGGCAATTCCTAGACCAGCACTGTACTAAGCATAAAAAGTTATGAAAGCACAGGAAATCTAATGTAAGATCCAAACTGAACAACAAAATTAGCCAGAAAATAAAATGACACGTGTAACTGCAGTTTTAAAACCTCTTACCCTGAACTTTGTAGAGTCGCACTGTGTGTGTCAAATGATGGAAAAAACAAGTAACTTCTGAGAAAATCCTTCCATGAGTAACTCTTATGGTAGGTGGATCCGTGAAAACGTAAGGCTGCAAAAAGACAAAAACAAAGTTAAAACAATGGTATGAAAATTGTTTGCAGCATAAAAAATCCACAGCATATCAGTTATTAAATAGGTTTAAATCCTAATTTAAACCCCCTCCAAAAATAACTTTTCATCTATAGTAGATGAGTGTAGGTCTGGTCATCTGAACACAAGATTGGCAACTAGGAATTCATAACTTCTCATCCCTACTTTGACATTGACTTTCTTTGTAGTCTTGGGCAATTTTCTTAATCCTACCTTGTCTGAAAATGAGGATAATCTTCATTACATACCTCACAGGTATGTTGTGAAAATTGAGTTAATATTTGTGAAGCATTTTGGAGATCAGAGCAACGTAAATGTTAAGTAACATATTACTGTGATTGCATATATTTTAGCTTCAATTTTCTTTCTCACAAAGTTATACTTGTCAGCTGCTGCTTACATACCTAGGACGTCATACCCAAAGCCCAAGTCATCGTTAGATGATTTCATTTATTTTTAACAGTTGATTTCAACACAGTTTCTGTTCACATTTAACATATCAAATGAATGTACGGATTGAGCAAAGCAGGAAGTGTGAACACAGCTGAAAGAACAGGAAGAATTTTTTGTCTGTTTGGTCCAACCACTGTGGAGTGATATATAATAGCTCCACAGTTAAAATTGCAGCAGATTATCTATTTAAAGCATGATGTTGGTCCCCCTAAAATCCACAAAATAGTCAAATATACCTGGAAATTAGTAGGTCAGTTGTGGGAGCTGAAGTAGAATGTTTCTAAAAAATCTGAAGTCAATTGGACGAGGGATTCCTGATTTCGGATATCCAAAAAAGAAAGGGAATTCCTGAAGTTGTCTAGTACTTTTTTGCCAGTTTACGCGCGCGCACACACACACACACACACACACACGGAAAAACTACCATCACTGATCTGCCCTAGCTTAAACTCAATGCACAAATACTTTTGGAAAAAACACAGAAGGAGCCACTACAGCATAGACAGCTCAGTGGTCGGCAACCTTTCAGAAGTGGTGTGCCGAGTCTTCATTTATTCACTCAGATTTAAGGTTTCACATGCCAGTAATACATTTTAACATTTTTAGAAGGTCTCTTTCTATAAGTCTATAATATATAACTAAACAATTGTTGCATGTAAAGTAAATAAGGTTTTTATAAAATGTTTAAGAAGTTTAATTTAATTTTAAATGAAGATGTAGAGCCCCACGGACTGGTGGCCAGGACCCAGACAGTGTGAGTGCCACTGAAAATCAGCTCGTGTGCCTCCTTTGGCACACGTGCCATAGGTTGCCTACCCCGACTTAGCTGAACCATTAACTGCACTCCTGACAAAGCTTTAGTTCTAGTTCAGCCTTGCCCCATCCCATTCCATCTGAATATTACAGGGGATTAGAAGGAGACAGAAGGACAGCTGAGTCCAGGAGCTGAAGCTGTCTTAGGAGCACAGCGCCTCTCAAACTGCCAACTCCTAGCCCCGGTTTGCTGATCCAGAGTGGGTTTGTCAGATTGGGACTACTGGTAGGAAGGCTGAGGATAGGAGCCAAAGTCCAAGGGTCATTACTGAAGATTAAAGGCACATTTCTATAGGATTAGGAGAGATGAATATTATTGTGCATGGATATAGAAGATGAGGGTAGAAATGGGTCCCTTGCTTTTTTAACCTCCTTGCTACTTGCTCCCCATCATCCACCCATTAATGACTTCTCTTCCCTCAAATGCTTCCCCAGTCTCTAGTAATAGCCACTGGGCTCCAGCCTCTGAGGTTGGCTTCCTGCATCTTACCTGGGAAACCAGAGGTGGTTCACCCCATGGAGCTGCTGTTGGAAGAAATGAACAGAGAATTGTTCGTAACAGCTTTTCACCTAACACTCTTCCTTCTGACTGCCCAGTTCATACTCTTTGTGTTGTTTGACGGGGTCAGCACAGGAGGAGCTCTTGTGCATGAAAGGCTATTACTAGTAGCAGATTTCCAAACTCATTGATCTCCAGCAATGAGTCCAGCCAATGAATCATCTGTACTTTGCTGACCAAAATTTTCTATGCTGGATGCTCAAGGAATTTGTTTAAAGAAAAAAGGATGATTGTCTGGCTCTTGAGACAGATTCAGGGACAAGTCCTCTCTCCCTCCTCTCGGAAGCAAAAAATGGGGCAATCTTGTCCCTGAGGCTGTCACAGGAGCTGGTTTCCAGTCCCATTTCTCAGACAACTTTCCCCTACTGGTGAGCTCTCTTGATTGCCATGAGGGAAAACAAGTCTGATGAGCCAAAGGACTACTTTTTGAAGTTGAAACAGACCATATTTTATATTGAGAACTCAGAGAAGAGTTAGATGGCACAAAGACTTCTTGGTGTGTCTTTTTGCCATCCAACTCTGCTATGAGCTCTTGCAACCAAATAACTACAGTCTGTTTCAACTTCAAAAAGCAGTCCTTTGGCTCATCAGATTGATACTCCCACTCCTAGCTATCACAGGAACAGAGCCGTTCAAAATGAGCAGTTCATCAGCTTTATCAGGACATTAACATCCTATACTTCAAAGGGCTTTCTTAATGGTGCACAAATTAGATGACAAGTTGCTACAAAGACACTGGGTCTATCTTCAATCAGTTCACAATAAACCACAAGTACTGTCAAATGTATCTGGATGCTGTTACTCTAAATTAAACCCAGGCAGGTAAACAGGATAGTTAAGCAGTTTGTGTATGAGGCAAGTAAGGGAGTCCATGGGGTTTGTTTGTACTGCATTAAAAGCTTTTTCCACTTGGACTTTCATAAGTAACAGCCAATCCCACAAAGAGCTTACAATCTTAAAAAAGTTTAGCATATTCACTACGTTATTCCATGTATAAATTTAGTATATCCAATCTCAGACTAAAGGGAGAAAAAGAGAAATAGGGAGAAAGGAAAGCTAGGAAAAATTAATGAATATCTGCAATACACTTTTACCATAAGATATGAAAATGAGGTCTTGGCCACTTGTTGTCATTGAAAATCCCATGGTTCTGTTAGGACTTTCAGTGTCCTGTTAAAATTCCAATATGCATAATTTGAATGCGGTGCTTCACAAAAGATGTAGCTATATTTCAATGGTGGGTCAACTACTGCTTCTATACATAGTTTGCAAAGTGTTTGGGGATCTTTCAGCATGAAAGCCTTTATTTACAAATATAATATGAGTACTATTACCTTGGCCTCTCCATCTGGTAAGAAGAGATAAGCCCCACTCTTATCTCTGTTACTTGTGGTTCCATACCAAGCAAACTCCACTTTTATTTGATGATTTTTGCCATCTTCTTTTGTGTTAATTTTCTAAAGATAAATAATTACAATTTGAGAGGGTGACACATTTATAGTTTTTATGCATCGATATTCTTATGAATAAGAAGTACAATATTTCAAATTGTGAGCCAACACACCTTCAGAAGCCCTGAGATCCCAGAAAACCATAGTTTCATGTAGGAGTTCTCTAAAGTAATGTCATCTGCAGAATTTTGCATCTCCTTGATCTTGAAAACCTTATCTGGGTTCACTTGCACATTATTTCCTCCACTAGTATATATATTATAATCAGCCAAGATCATTTCTGAACTCAGAACCTCCAAAAGCTGATAAACTCCCAGACCTAAAGGCGGTAGGTGCACCATAAAAGAGATCTGTTGGAGCAAGAAGAAAACATATTAAAAATGTACTACCATTAAAATAAAATTCTGAACATACTGCACCAAATTCATGCCTGCTGCATTTCTATTCATCTCAACATTTACACCAGCACTGAATTTTGCCCAAATTTCCAAGAACGCAAATTAGTATTAGATTATTAATAAGAATATTTCAAATTATTAAATCAAATGTTCTAATATTTCATCACAAATAATTTTTTTCCTGCTATTCATCTGATTAGTAATATTTCAGAAGGGCATGATCATTGTTTACTAAGATGAACAACAGTTACAATTTTTAATCTATTGCTATAAAGAAATATGATCTGTAATTTTGAGTTGAGCATATTGCCACATATTAAGGAGATGAGCATAAAATTGATGCTAAGGGTCAGAAATATTCTAGAAAGCAGAGAATGTTGGAGCACAACACTAACATACCATTATGGATTAGAACTGGAGGATATAATGGAATGTGGCCCAAACTGCCACTGATTCTTTGCTGCTTACTTAGAAGCCATATAAAGATCTTCACAGCAGAGAAACAGGGTGGGTGGGTCTCTGGAAACAATGTGCCCAGAACTCCGTATGTTAACTTTCCTTTCTCCTTCTAGGACAGCCTCTACAGAGCCCCACACTTGAGATTTATTAGCAGTAATTTGCCCCTTAGAAGAGGGCTGAAAAGAATATACATTGTAGGAAAATGATTCTGAAATAGGAATTCAATCTGGCTTCCAGATCAAAAGAGTAATGCTAAGTAAACATCTGAACAGAGCTCCATGTAACATTGTTTTTTTGACAAATCTCAGTGCGAAGTTCATATAAAGTACAACTACTGGCACATGATGATTGAGAAGAATCTCTATGATACAATACGGTTTGAAATTTCTCAGAATTATCAGACAGAACCAAAAGCAGGCATTGGCTCCAAGGCAAGGATCAAGCTTGAGTACAGAGAAATGTAGACTACATCAGAGTCTAGACCCAGGGGACTAGGGATCCAAGACCCTACAGCTCAAGTCTTTGGATCTGAAGGTCCACTTAGCTCAAATGTCATGTCAGATCCTCCTCTGATAATGCTTTTATAGCCAAACACCCTCTCCACTTAGTCAATAGAGTGGTGGAAACTATGCTTTTTCTTCCACTTCAGGACAGCAGATAGTGGATCTGACTGTACCTGAATTTTACCTCTACATTACTCTGAAGTCCACATTACCCAGAGTTTTTTCTATCTGATATGAAGAGAAGACAGAAGAGCCACATTGGAACTCAAACTTTTCAATTTTGCTTTTTGCTACTGGATACCATTACATCTACATTTGTGACATTCCTTAAACTTCCTACACTAGGGGATATTGTGATAATGTTGTTCATTTACAAAGACAATCGAAATTATTTTAAATAAATTTTTATTTACAGAATTTTTAACAATCCTAATTCTGAAGTAAGGTATTTATGAATCAAAATCAATATGTCTACAAGAACCCAACAATCCAAACTAATGTGTTAAAGTCCTATAGCATACAAATTTTAGCCTTCCAGTTTAACATTCTTGTAAGTATAAAGTGTCCCTATTTTCTTAGGATTCAGCTGTACCTTTATATTGCATGTATCCTGCCAGTATGAGACCTTCTAAGAATATAACGACTAGTATCAACATTTCTTTCAATAACAAGTATTTTAAAAAAATGTAGTCTTAGTACACTAATATACTATTATATCCATATATTACTATTAGTATATTTCTTTGTACGCCCTGTTAGGTATGAATTTGCTGTGTTGACTTCTCTGCTACAATCATTCCCCCATCCCCCCCTTTTTTTCCCTACCAAGAAAGAGTAAGGGGAGTGTTTTTCTCTTCTGAACTTCTCATAACAGAAGTTATGATATTAAGGCTGTGTACTCCAAAGAACTGATTAATTAAAATGATAATCCAAGAGAGATTAACAATGGATTCTTAAAATGTACACCTTATGTTACTTTTTTTAAAAAAATGTGTTCTAATACTTTAGTTCAATAGTTCTGTGATACTCACTTTCACACAAAGTGTAAATGTTCACATCTCTCAACACTCCCTCCAACAGTGAGCATTGCATATTGGGGGGGGGGGGCATTTTTTATTTGTTGGAATGATAGTGCTATCACCACCATTTAAAAAAAAAAAAAAAAAAAAAAAAAAAAAGAAAGTCTTCATATCTGAGCCTCTCACTTAGTAAGAAAGGGACCCTATTTCCTTGGCTTGAGTCTTTAATCCTCGCATAAGGAGGAGCTAAAGTCTATTTTTAATAGAAACAGTTTCCCTTAAGCAAAATACATTTAATAGTGTGGCCTGATACACTGCACACTATAAAAAACATAGCCTTCCAAAGAATGGGAGTTTTCATTCCACTGCTCTGTGAAGTTCTAAGAGACTAAGATTTGAATCTGTGATATTGTTGTTATTTTGGGGTAAAAGAAAAATCCTTGTATGTGTAAGACTATTTATTAAAAAGGAAAAGTTACAAAAATCATTACTTGAAACACTTCAAAATTGGCCTCAGGGCTCTACTTGTAACCAGGGCATCGAATTCAAGTACATACAGCCCCTCAGAAATGCAGTGAAATGGCTATAACATCCCTGTGATGTCTAATTGCCATTTAAATTAATGGGGCTAAAGAAACGAAGTATTTAACACATGTACACAGCAGCTGCTATTCAAACAATTTTCAACAACTTTAAAACAAATATTTCAACATATCCACTTTTCTGACTCAAACATGGATAAACAGAAATGTAAACAAGATACAGAGATCAATGCACTTGTAGAAAAGTTAGGGGGAAAAATTCTAGTTAAACACATACACTCTAAGTTTCAACCCAAAGCAATTTTAAATGGATACCAAATAATAAATTCCTCAAAACGAGGCTCATTACTGAAACACTTAATCCAGTATTAAGCTTTGGTAATATCACAAAAAGTAATGAAGTTTAGAAAGTTGGTGCTACTGTATTTCTTAGGCCTAAATGAAGACCAAAATGATTTAATTATTCCTTCTCTCTCACACACACAGAATCTTCTTTATAAAACTGATATGATTCATATATTTGAAGTCTAGTTCTCTTTATTTTCTCCCTTAATGTGAAGTGCATATCAGTAGTATATGATATATCACATATCTAAGTGCAAATCAGTATAACTTACACTTTTTATTTCGAGTGACATACCTGATATGCTTCATGTGATACTGTAGTTGTTCCATCCCATACTCCACTAATCTGGACCATAACAGGTTTCCCCGAAGGAGATAATACTTTAACTTTGGGTGAATTCACATAGATTGAAACCACGGAGAACCGCTCCTGTTCTGTAGGATTATAAACCAAAAGGTACCTGCAAAAATATTTTTGCCATATTATCTTTACGAAAATATTTTTTTCTTTTCAAGTTATTGTATTATTTCACACTAATTATATAAGTGGAATAATTAAAACTATAATATGTGTGTGTGTATACAATGAAAATATATGAAAACTGTAAACAAGAAAAACATGGACACCTTTCTTAATGCTATTCTTTCTCATAGGCTTTAGATAGAAAGACGTATCTTATGGTACTCACAAAAATTCTATACACGTTTAGAAAATGAGATGCTTAGGAATTTTGTTTAGCCAAATACAGTCTTAATGCAAAGATTGCCTTCAATGGAAATATTTTTTAAAAGACTGAATTATTGAACACCAAGAGTACAAGTCTGTTCACTGTTCAATTCTGTTTATTTGTAAATTACGTAAAATAAGGAGGATAGCTTCCTATTGGGTTCAGTGTAAATATCAAAAGGCAAAGATTTTAAAACATTTTAGTAAGAATTTGTTAAGACCTTCATTTTTTAAATAACTTTCAGCCTCAGCAGTAGGTTTGAGGGGGGGAAAAAACAGTGATAGGAAAAATAATAGCCTTTATTGAAATCTGGTTATAACTAGATTGGATATACATTCTGGTTATAAAGAGATTGTATATATATTCTTTTTCCATATGATCATATGAATGCAGTTTAAAGTATCAATACTCATTTATGTCTTCAAAGTTACATGCTTAACTATTATCATAAATACTGCATGGAAATATTTCCAGGAACTTTGTATCTATTTGTAAAACATGTTTGTGTGTATGTAATCTTTCCACATAACATATTTATTATGAAAAGTGCAAAATACCACACATTGGATTGATAAACGTATTCACCAGAAAATACAGACCTGACAAGTTACAAGTTGACTGGCTACAAGCCCAAGTTATAGGAGTATTTCCTTGCTATATAGACATAGACAACATGGCATGTGAAGTTAAGTATATGGAATACTAAAATCTCCAAGGCATGGTATAACAGCATAACTCCGATTATTTTCCTCAATATGTGATTGTGTGTGGGGGAAGGGGAAGAAGGAATAAGTTTAGAGTTACAGAATAAGAAGATGAAGGTAGTAATAACTGCTGGGCAAGTTCCTAAGCACAGGAGAGAGTTGGATGACAACAGGGAGTTGTGGTAAGCCAGAAAGATGAGGCAGAAAGGACAGCTGGGAAAAAGTGATGAACTAGAAAGGCAAGAAAGATGAGAAGAGAAGGAGTGAGAGGGAGCATGGAGAAGAACAGGAGTAACAGGTAATCATAAATGGCCACTGGCCAGCTAGTCAGTTTACAACTTCTGGCTTTGCTAACTAGTTTAGAAAAAGTACAGCTTCATACCAGGCACCATGGAACATGCCACTTGCCAGCTGACAGTAGGGGAAAGATTAACTTAAGTAATAAAGTTTCAGAGACCAGCTGAAGAAGTCCCACTCAATAAATAAAGGGTTTCACCACTCTGGGTATATACTAACTTTTATTCCCAGACCGATGTTCCATAGGCAACATAGTTTTAAAGGTTAAGAATTTAGTATTAGCTTTATTAAATACTTGTTTTATATTTCACATTTAGATTCTCCTTTTGAATAGAAAGATGGGAAACTAAAATCACAATTCAGAATGTAGACAATTCATTGGATGGAGCTACAGTTAATTATGGAAGAGTTAACTTAATGGGGAAAAGTTGTCTCAGAAGAAAAACACAATTACACCAATATATGTAGTATTTTCTTGTGCCTGGATGTTTAATATTTTTTCAAATTCTACTTCAGTAGAACTGAAGAATTTATTCTCAGTATATATGACATAATTAAGTTATGCACATACTACAACAGTGACTAATGATAATTGCATACCATTTTAGAATGCCATTTAACTCCAACCCTCAAATCACATACCCAGTATCATTAACTGCAAAAAAAAAAAATTCTAGATTAATTACGAGACATCACATTTACACAGGACTTACTTCACCTATACAATATCATCATGCAGAATGACATCCACCAGTGTGGAACACAACTGCTGGGTATATCCTGCCTACATGAAACATGGAGGTAGTTTGGCACCATCTAAAGGTCTTCTAATCTGAATTTAAAGGTAAAAACTTGTAATAACTACCTCCATTTAAGAAGCAATTCGCAGTTATCCTACTCTCATCATTCAGAGCACTTCTTTGTGGCACTGCATCAGGGTAAACTAAGTCATATCTCCTTGGGACTGTCACCTGATGTCCCAAGGAGAATTACCTCTGATCCCATTTTCCCTGGCAGCTTGGGACTCCAGAACCCTGCCTTGTTGAGCCAGACAAGTTAGCCTGCTCCAACACAGACCCAGATCTGGTCCACACCCCCCAAAGCTGCAGACTCTAACCAAAAACTGCTCAGCAAGTCACCTTCTCCAGCACCCAGCACCCAGACACCCAGTTCCCAATGGGATCAAAACCCCAAATCCGTTTTACTCTGTATAAAGCTTATACGAGGTAAACTCAAACTGTCCACCCTCTATAACACTGAGGGCTTGTCTATACTTACGCGCAGGTTCGGCCGCAGGCAATCGAACTTCTGGGTTCGATTTATCGCGTCTTGTCTGGACACGATAAATCGAACTCAGAAGTGCTCCCCGTCGACTCCGGTAATCCTGCTTGCCGCGAGGAGTACGCGGAGTCGACGGGGGAGCCTGCCTGCCGGGTCTGGACCGCGGTAAGTTCGAACTAAGGTACGTCGACTTCAGCTACGTTATTCACGTACCTTAGTTCGATTTGGGGGTTTAGTGTAGACCAAGCCTGACAGAGAGACATGCACAGCTGTTTGCTCCCCCAGGTATTAATCACTTACTCTGGGTTTACTAATAAACAAAAGTGATTTTAATAAGTACAAAAATAGGATTTAAGTAGTTTCAAGTAATAACAGACAGAACAAAGTAAATCACCAAGCAAAATAAAGCAAAAACACGCAAGTCTAAGCCTAATATATTAAGAAACTGTTTACAGGTAAAATCTCACCCTCAGAGATGTTCCAATAAGCTTCCATCACAGACTAGACTCCTTCCTAGTCTGGGTCCAATCCTTTCCCCTGGTGCAGTCCTTGTTAGTTCCAGCTCAGGTGGTAACTAGGGGCTCTCTCATGATTGGGAGCCCGCTTTGTTCTGTTCCACCCCCTTTTATAGCTTAGGCACAAGGCGGGAATCTTTTGTCTCTCTGGGTCCCCACCCCTCCTTCTAAATGGAAAAGTACCAGATTTAAGATGGATTCCCGAATCATGTGACCTGGTCACATGTCCGGTGAGACCTCATTCTTCATTACCCACGGGCTGGCCCACATGCACACAGGAAGGCCATTTACAGGTCATTGATTCTGAAGCACCCTTAATGGCTTCCACTTAATGGGCTTACATCAGTAATACAAATTTATATCTTATTTTCCTAACTTCAGACATAGAAATAATACATGCAAACAAATAGGATAAACACACTCAGTAGATCATAAGCTTTGTAGTGATACCTTACAAGAGACCTTTCGCATTAAGCATATTCCAATTACATTATATTCACACTCATAAGCATATATCAATAAAACATTATGGAGTGCAACATCACAATAACTTCCTTCAAAAAATTAAAAATTCTCTCCTGTTTCGATTGGCCAGTAAGACCCTGAAGAAAAAAAGTCTGCAGTCAGAGCATTTTACCTCAGAAGTATCAGTGAGGTGTGGCCTAATCCACTGTTAATAAAGTCCTCTTAGAAACTCCTCCTCCATAGCAAGACAGTGCACTGTTTCTTGGATTTCCCCCTAGGTTTCCCCATTAGGTTCAATTAAAAAAAAGTAAAGGTTCATGAAAAAAGATCTTGTCTCTTACTGGGAGTATGTACCATGCCTAGTAAATACAGGCTGTAATTTTGGTCTGGCCCTCTTAAGTATTCCTATAATACTAATAAATAAATAAAATAAATAAATAGATAATGAAGTGGTCATCATTAAAATCTTCACCAGTACTGTTTGCAAGTAATTAACATTACCACAGTATTCCTTATAACAAGACCAAGGACTATCATGAACATTGCAGTAATATTATTTATGCAAATATAAAGTTGTAGAGATTCTAATGTGATCACTATAATTATAATTACTTACATATATAGTGAAAATTTCAAAGTTGTTTTAAGACAGCTGACTTTTTTTCAAATAATATAATTTAACAATTGGTTAGACCAACTGTTAAATTAAATAAAAATTGAAGAGCGGGAAATTACTCACCTCTAAATCTGCTTCTTTAAAAAGAGACCTTCATGCAGGATTCTCACTCTTGTGTCTTGAGCTACCAACATGAAAGCAAAACTAACCTAGCTCAGAGGCTTTTTGGCCTTTACAGGAAATTGTAGCAGCAGGCATCATACAGATTTTTTGACACCCTGGCCAATGTACGCCAACAACTGCCTCTACAACCTTCCAGTCAATTCCTGCTCCTAACACATAACCAACTGAAATGTCTCTTATATGAAAAAAAAACCAAAAATTTGTCAGGATAAAAATTACAATGTTCAACAGTACATCAATTCAAAAACATCCTCTAATTTGGTGTAGGATTGAGGAATGTGAATCCTGCATATGTTCAAAGAAGGAGAATTACAGTCAAGCAATTCTCCCTTCTTATAAATTCTTAGTATACTGTTGGGCTAAGTTCTTTAAGGAACATTGTAAAATAAAAACAAACAATAAAACATTGCATCAGGCAGTCATAAAAACATAGATCAATACCCAACAGGTAACAAGCTAACAAGAATCTATTTTTTCTATACAATGGAAAGAATGAGGCCTCCAAACAAACATGACTCGAACACAGAGAGCTCTAGGATATATCCTCATAAAAAGAAACCTTTCAAAATTCCTGGCAAATTCAAGTAAGGATAATCTCAAAACAGGGGTCAGGAAAATGCAGACACCCCCTTCTTTAGAAGCAGCTCTATGGAACAGAGAGAAGTAAGATTC